TGGTGAAAAGGCAATATTCAAGTGGAATACTTATAAGAAGAAAAGGTCGAGATACTCGTTTTCTTCGTCTGACTCTAGAGCTCAAAGTTCCAATGGAAGTAGAAGAAAATGAGAAAGATAAGGTGAGATCTCAGTTGAGTTTGGTCTCTTCTTCTACATGTATGTGTGTGTTTTAGAAGCTGTTTAGATGTTCTTCTTGCGAATGTAACTTATGGCCAATCTAACATGTAATGCATTTATTTGAATTGGTCTCAGGTTAAGGTTTAGTTTTCTTTTTGTTTGTTAAAGGTATTATTAAGTTATGTTTCTTATGTAAAACATTTCTAGATTCGGGATTGAAAACATATGTAATATTTTGTTCAGAGGCCAATTCATTTTTTGAGCCACTCTAAAGTAACACTTTCCAAAATATGTGTATGCATTTGGTCTTTTTGATAATAGTAGTGTACAATACAAACAAACTAATAAAAGATAAATACACTCACAAATTCATCTTCAAAATCTTCAAGGTTCTGCTCTTCATGATCCTCATTTTCTTCTCCATCAGGAATATTCTCATCCAAAGGTCCAAGTAACTGAGGACAATTCTTGAATATCTCTTTAACTTCATCAATGCCTTTAACTGAGATCACATTCCCATCAATGTTCAACATCTTGAAACTTTCTTTCTTGACAACAACATGAGCCAATCCCAATGCTCCTCTTCTCAAGTCATTGTAGCTCATATCAACATATTCTAACTCCAAATCTTTCATAATCTTTACAATCTCAACACATCCCTCATCTTGCAGATCATTCTTAGACAAGTTCAACTTCTTCAGATGTCGCTTTGTTGCCAAACAAGCTGCGATAGCTGAAGCCGCGTCATGTGTTATGTTATTTCCAGCCATTTCTATAACTCCAAGAGATGGAGCAGAGTTCTTGAGAGCGTTTACTAGAGCTATAGTACCTTCATTCTCTAGATTGGTATAACTAAGGTTAAGTACAGTCAAGAAATTGAAGTTTGAAAATGTTTTGCTTATAGAAACTCCAATTTTTATGCCATTGTCACAAAGTTGTCTCGTATGAGTACAAGTTTCAAAATCATTCTCCTCTATAGCATCCTCCTTGCTTAAGCTAGTGTCCACCATATTCAGAAGGCCTTTAATTAGTCCTCCCAAGTGAACCAAAAACCACAACTTAAGCATGACGATATATGTTTTTTAAATTATTACAGAGGTGTTACAGGATCATAAAATATAAGCTCCAACTTTTTTTTTTTTTTTGGGTCAAAAAAATATAAGCTCCAACAAAATCTATTTTTATGGCACCAAATATATTCTTTCATAAGTTCAATTTTATTTTTATAGCAACAAATTTAAATTTATTCAATTAGTAAATATTTTACTAAAAGGATATTTTATGAGAATTAAAAAAGAATGATAGATTATAATCTTGAAAGATTTTTTCATAATAAATTTTAGAGAATTTGAGAGAGTATATAGGAATTCTAGAATTGCACTTAAAATAAATAGTTTATTTACAAAAACTTTATAAATAAACAAATTTCTAAGATACAATGATTATGAGTAGGTTTATATCCAAAAATTTATATCAGAATTATTACATTAATGACTTCAGTTAAATATATCCATGAACACTAATCTTATTATATAAAACTTGATGTATTAGTTAAATATATCCATGAACACTAA